TTAAATTAGTTTAGCTAATATTGTTGTTGTAATATTTTATATGTTTTCTCTTAATAAATGATGAGCAAGATCGTCTAAGTTAAAAAAAAAATAAAAATAAATAAAAAAATAAATTAGACAATGACTAAAATTATACGTGTAGCTTGTTGTACACTCATCATATAACTGTAAAACCTTAGAAAACTGTTCATGTGATAGTTCTATAATAACAAACTAATAAAATCTAATTGGCCAAGGAAGTAACCTTAATAACAAAAAAAAAAAATATGATATATACTATTAATAAAAATCAAAGCTATACAAAAATGAAACTTGTATAGCTTGCTATATTACTAAAGAATATTTAGTTATTTAGCAGAATATTTAATATATCAAAATATATAGATATATATAGAAAAGATTATTATCAAAGAGCTTAAGTATAAGATACTTAAAAAATAGAATATATCTATATCTAGTTTAGATTTAAAGAAAATACTATTAGGAATAGAAACCAAAGATAAGCTAAATAGAAAAATATTACATCTACAAAGAATTATAACTAAAAATTAGACAAAATAAATAAAAAAAATCTTAAGCTTATATTCTAAAACAAACTATACTATTATCTGATTTATAGATATCTTTTAGCTTAACTTTTTTGAAAAGCTATAGAAATTTAAATGTGAAGTTATAGTCAATTAAAAGAAAGAGAATAAAATAAATATACAAAAAAAAAAAAAAAAAAAAAAAGACCAAAGAGAAAAAAAGTAGCAAACAAAACAAATACTAATATATTTGAAATACAAATTAAAGAAGCTTCTTGGAAAAAAAAAAAAAGAATAAGTAAAAAATTTAAAGTAGAAATTACAAATTAGATTAAAACAAGAGTATATAAAAAGTAGTTAAATTTTAAAAACAAATAGGTAGTCTTAATACAGGCTAGTAGTAACCTTCTAAAAATTAGAAATAAGCAAGTAGACATAGATATATATTTATTTCTAAGAAGAAAAAAGCTGCTATGACAAATCATATTTGAGCACCATATAAATAGCTGAATAAGTTTAGAATTGTAAAAAAAAAGGCAATTAAAAATTAGATTAGCTTTAATTTTTTGTATATATCTTAATGCTAAACCTAGCATATCTCTTAATAAAATAAAGAGCAAGATCACCTAAGTTAAAAAAAAAAAAAAATTATCTTTTCAATATAAATTTATAAAATTTATATTTTTTAACATAATTATAACTTATTAAAAAAAATACTAGTTTTTATGAAGTATAAAACTATATTATTAACATAAATAAATTTTAATTATTCTAATAAGTTTAGATTGCAAATAAAATTAGCTAACCTTTTATTACTTTCTATAATCAAAGTCTTAATTCTTGTATATAACTTGTAATATGAACTATCAAAAAAATCTCTTATAAAATCTCAATTAGGTTTTTCAATAAAAATAAAGCAAAACCTTAACATTAAAAAAAAACTTTAATTATAGTAACATCCTTCAAAAATAAAAAATTATCTAATATATGCAGATATCGATTTAACCAAAAGCATTTTCACATTAAGCATAGAATTTAAAATTTAAATATAATACTATAACTTAGTTCGCATATCTAAAAAAAAATTTGTTTTTACAGTAAATTGAACAAATAAATTTTAAAATCGGAGTATATTGTTTGGTTATAGACTAGTATCACAAAATTCTAAAATGTTTTGATTATGTTGTTAAATTCTCGGGAACTAGCATATAAATTTACCAGAATTAAGTACAACAAACTCGGGTTAAAACTCAGCCAGCTTGCGATGCATAGCAGTAAATGATATTATGAAATTTGTTCTGGGTAATTATCGTTTATAATGTGCCCCTACGCGGCACATTACAGCAAATTAATATCTCATAGATACCCTAAAAAAATTATTTCATTTTGAGCACATTAATGTGCTTAGCTTTAATATCGGAAGACAATAGGTTAGATATTTTTTTCACGATCATAAACATTCTATAACATAAAAAAATCAAGTTTTATTTAATGAGAGCATTACATTATTCATTGCTCTCATTTTTGAATATTATACAGTCTCTTTCGTGAAATAAATTCATCAAATATGATAAATCATCATAACCTGTAGGAAGCTCAAACCCTCCTCTTCTCAGGAGCCTTCTATTAATTTTTTAATTTTGGTTAGTTAAATAATTAAAAATAGAAATAGTACATGCATAAATAGAGCACAAATTTACGCACAGCCAAAATGTCACTGAATTCTTGATATGGAGACTGTTTGAACTCAACATCTTTCCACCGGTCGGGAGTCAGGAAAGCGTAGGTATTACCAATAGCGGCGAAAGTAGCCTTAACGAAATTGCCTAGTGTACGAGTAGATCCACGTGAAGTGGTATAACAATCTGTAATACCTGCCAATTGCAAAAGCTTCTTAGGAGTAGGTGCAGCTACGATTCCAGTACCACGAGGTGCGGGAACGAGACGGCATATAACGGAACCACATCTACCAGTAACTTTAGAAGGAACTGTGTGCGGATCACCAAGTAAAGAACCCCAGTATCCACGTCGTACTGGAATAACAGAAAGCTTTGCAAGAATGATAGCACCTCGGATGGCGGTGGCAACTTCTTTTGAGCATTTGACACCGAGACCAACGTGCCCATTGGAATCGCCAATTACAACAAAAGCCTGCATATCAACGGTTAAATGTGAATATTAAAAAATAAAACTACTGTAAGAATCATCTATAATTAATTCTCATAAATATGATAACCTTAAATCGAGTTCGTTGACCAGCGCGAGTCTGTTTTTGAACGGGCATTATCTTCATGACCTCATCTTTTAAGGAGGTGCCAAAGAAACGGTCTACTATCTGAAATTCTTTAATTGGAAGCGAAAATAAATAAATCTGTTCAATAGTTTTAATCTTCCCTTCTTTGACCAGACGACCAAGTTTGGTAACAGGGACCCTAAGATGCAGATTCATTAATTTATATTTTGAAGATTGATTGTGATGAAAATAGGTACAGACTTATTGCCGTTACGACAAGATAAAAGGTTATGTCAAACAATTTTAATATGAAACTCAAACAAGTCAAAGTCATATTAGTGACAAAATAAGTCTGATCTATAATATCGAATGCCCATTTAATTAATTTATTATATGGGGTCGAGTCAGTGGAAAATCAAGCAAATTTTTTCTAAGCAAATTTTTTTAAAAACTTAATTAAGTTTAATAAAAAAATTTTTGAATAAATTCTACAAACTTGTAGAATCTATTTAAAAAATTTTTTTATTAAATTTAATTATGTTTATTATTGTTGTTTAAAGTTTCAATAAAACAATTTGCTTGATTTCTACTAACTCACCTCCTATATATTTAAATAATTCACTTCAATTACCATTCTTTGTCGTCATCCTTACGGGCACCTCGACGACCACCACGACCGCGACCCCGTCCACGGCCTCTATCACCACGACCACGTCCGAAACCACGTCCTATAATAAAAAATTTTTTACTCAGCGACTCTCAACTTAATATACTATGAACAGTCGATTTTCATCGAAACGATCTCTAAAGTCGTTCTCTTACGAACGTAAAGTTTAAACGTGTTTCTTCGTGGTTTACAAACGTAAAAGTTTGAAACTTACCACCACGACTATCGGCCGTTCCTGAGTCAGCCATGTGCTACGGAAATTTCAAGATAAGGATATGTGTGATATGTGGTTAGGAACACTCAAAAAAAAATATATATATAATAAATTTAAAGCTAATCAACAATAAATAGATCAGGGTCGCCAAAAGTTACAAGAATTGGCAGATTTGATATAGAGCTAAGGTAATTGTCAAATAAAATTATATTTTAAACCGATGGATTAGATACTCACATAATCTTGATTTTGGATGAATTATTTCTTTGGGTGGAAATTAGAGAGGAGGAAGTTTAATCTTTCACAACCTCGCTTTATATTGTGGTTGGCCGACGGGATTTAATCCTTAAAGTAGGCCACAATTTTTGCATTAATTTGATTGGCTATTAATTCATAAGTTTTATTGGCAGCTTGGTTGATCATGTGACGTTTCTAAGTTTCCTTGGTGACATTTTAGACATTTAAACAAGAAAGTTTCTTATTATAAATAGCATGATCAGAAGAGTACTTGCATTCTATTTTTTATAAATCGAGTAATACGTACGAACGTACGTGCGTACGTACGTACGTTAGTAAAATAATTGCCTTTGATCAATGTCTGTGATACATGAAGTGATTTTATATAAATATTGTAGATTTTGAGAACTATTAACACACATCACTACTTAATATCTTTCGATTGAATTTTCAACATTTAAATGTATAGAAATGCGAACCGTTTCCTCAAAATTACTAATTCGATCAGAATTTCAAGCTTCTCTATGATATACAAGCAACAGCAAAAGACTTCACTTCAAATTTTAATAGATTAAGAAATTTCTATTGTATAGAATGGGTTGTTCATAACATTATGGAATCAGCAGAAACCCATTTGGAAAAAAAAAATATAGAAGTAGAAAGTGGAACGGTAAAAGTGGAAAGTGGAAGAAAAAATTAGTAGAACAACTTTTGTTGAAATTGCTTTTATCATATGTGTTTTTCAGAGCCAAACACAATGGGATTGTTTAAAACTTAAGGATGCAGTTCATCTTCAAGGAGTTTTTGGTTAATAAGATTGTTTTATTTCTACTATTAATCTTTTAATTTGTAACTAATATCTAGAGAGGTGGGAAGACATTTCGTTGAATCCAGGGTAACTTACCGTGGTAAGTTACCGCGGTAAATTACCATGGATTTTGGTGGTAAGTTATCAAATGCTTGTTCGAAAAGTGCTGCCATTATCGGAAGATTTCGTTATTGTAGACAATTAACGAACATAAAATACGGAGACTATCGGGAATAATAAATAATTTACTCCGCTGTTAACTTACCGCCAAAATTTATAAATTACCGTGATTTTACAACCCTGGTTGGATCCTAATGACAGTTCACGATTTAAACGGTGGAAAAAAAATAACGAGAACTTAAATACAGTTTCTGGGAGAAGGTTATAAACAGTGAAGAAATGATAGATAATTCTTGTGTAGAGACTGTACAGTACCTGTTGAGAAAATCACTACTCGGGTATTATCAAATACCCGGATAAATTACCCACTATTCTTCACGGTCAGCTGTTGTACAAGATTCTTGTGCAACAGCTGATCGTATAGAATGGCGAAGAATAGAATTATGGTCTAAAGTTTCTGAATTCATGTGTGATGACATTAAAATACCTTATAAAATTATTGAAGAATTAGTGGAAGAAAAAGTTATAGTTTATCCTTGATCTGTATGATTTAAACAATATACTTATACCTAACAAGTTGCATAAAATAAAAAATTGATAATTAATCAATCATGCACAATTAACACTAAATTTTCTACGTACTGTATATACCCCGATGATTTCTGTAATATACTCTGCTTCTGCTATCTTACATTTCAAGATACATTGACATAATCTGCTTGAGGCCCAGATATAGTCTATTCTTGTACTAGCTATCTTGTTCGTCTATGTGAACTCTTTTTTGTATGGGTACATTACTCTGAATATATTTTTAAGGCTTGAATTTTCTAATCATCTTAGGAGAGGGAGAGACTGTTTTCTACTTAAGGTGTTGTTGTTTTGATCCAAGTCTTTGGATCTGATGTCATTGAAGTCACCCATAATGATAACTCTAATGTTGTTTTTTTCACAATCTCTAATCTTTCTGATTGCTTGCTGTTGGATTTTCTTCTTTTCTTCTTTATCGTTTGGTGGGATATATACACAAATCACTAGTAATTTATACTTTTTAAATAATATTAGTATGTCGATATAGTAGTTACTATATCTTGTTACCCATCCTATATGCTTTTCCCATGTTTTACTAACTATTAAATCTACTCCAGAGTCTTTTAGTTTGTCTTCATGTGCTCCAGTCCAAAATCCTATATAGTTATTCCTATTTTTGAGTATAAATTTGCCTTGTCGCTCTGTGATATTTATTTCATTAATTCCTAATATGTCTATGTAGTTATCTGCTACCCATTCTGTTACTAAATCTAATTTATGACTATTAGCTTTCAGTCCATTAATATTGTGTGTAGCTACTTTTAATATTCTAAAGTCTGATTTGGTTTGATTATTGACTAAATTTTCCTGCGTTGTTGAGCAAGTTTTCTTTCTTGTTCATGCTAGGATTTCTTTAATTCAACTAGTGCTACTATTAGGAGCGGTTCGCTCCTATTCTCTTTATATTAGCGAGTTTCTTTTCTAAGTGTTGGAGCTGTTGCAATATGAAATTTAGAGAAGATTCTTGATTTTCTTGATAATCTTGATTTTTGAGCGCTGTTCTAATGTTTCTTCTGCTTCTTTTTAAGGGCAAAAGATTTTCTGATATATTGTCTATTATTTCTTCACTGTCACTTAGTTTGTTACTGACTGTATCTCTCCAATTCTATAGTGCTTCTGAGGCTTCTCTCTCTGGTGTACTCTTTGATTCATATCAGTTACTCCCTCTATTATACTCTGTATTTTGTGCGTATTTGGAGCACTCTACTTTAGAGTCTAAATCTAATTCTTTTCTTTTTCCTAAGCTTTTGTTACTTCTTATTTGTGTAGTTTTTTGTCTATTATATTCTTCGCTAAATACTCCTTTGGCATTGTTTGCCTCACAGTTTGCTCATCTTAGCTTAATATTAT